TACATGAGCACAGAATCCTTTTTCCCAGCAGTTATTAGAAATATATTTGTGTGGTCATAAAATATCCTCTTTAGTACAAAAAAATCCCACCAATCCTTTACAATAGTCATGTTCAGAGAAGTCTGACTTTTCTCTAAGGGAGTAATGGCATGGCACTCCATGAAAGCTTTCAGTATTTCTTCCACTATATTTGATTTTAATTTCTTTCTATTATAGAAAGTATCTAAAGAGTATACCAAGTAATACAGCCGCTGGATGTCAATAGTAGCCAGCTTTTGTGAACACAAAAATTCCACATTTTTGATGAGATAACATTACCTGCATGTGGTAAGTGAAACATATTTTCTGGGGTGACCTTCCTTTTCCTGCACCTCTACTCTTCAGTAACTGTATTTCTAATGAGTAAGAACTCACTCAGATATAAAGCTATGTAAAGAAACTGCAAAAAAACCTGTTAGTTAATGCACTGGACAATACTCAACTCTCTGTAGCCCAGTTCTTTACTATGCCATGCAAATAAGTTATGGCAAACCCAAGTTTTATCCTAATCTCCCAATGGCTTAAAAAATCTTTCTTTGAAGTAATTGGAATGATGCTTGCCCTGTACTGCAGTGACATGGATGATCTAAAAGAACTCAAGATTTATAGCTCAATGATCATTCCTCCTTCTCATTTCTCTTTGTTTTACAGCACAGAAAAGTCCAGAAACTCACTTTGGTATTTACTTGGGATATTAAGTTGTTACATATTCACAGTTCCTTTTTACAGAACCATAAAATTCTGTCATTTCCAACTGGTTTCAATCCTGCTAGTAAACCTTTTCCACAAGCTTGGATGCAAAAGATAGTCCTATTTTAGGATTGTTCACTCAAAGAAATATTTTGTTACAAAGTTTGGGCTTTTTTTTTCCTGAGGTCCCATTGTAATTTCCCCTGAGTATTCTTTTTTTAATTTTGCACACTCCAGATGCTTACTGTTTCCCGTATATCCCTTTATGCTGACCAACACAGGCATTTATTGCTTCATTTTAAAGTAAAAAAGTTGCTGAGCAGCCAACACAATCACCAAATTAACATACATGCATTAGCAAACACATCTAATATCATATTTCTATGCATCAATAAAGGAAAATCTTTCCCACTTCCTGAAGGACGACTTAATCAGCTACTGAACAGCAGCAGTGAAATATAAGACTAATTCTGAATAGCTTATCAGCCCATTCTCCAGTCAGGTACGTACTGAACACAGAACAAAAAAAAGGGGGGGAAAAGGCAAATTCATGGGCTTAATGGCCACGCTCAAAGATATCTCAATGGAAACATGAGACTAAATATTTTTCTAGTCTACCTTAATAATGTTGTGAGGTAGCCTCTACTCATTTGGGCCTTGGTCAACACAGGAAACATAATTTAACACATTAGTGGTTGTTATCCTGAAAAAGTGTATGTGAAGGAAGAGCAGTTAACTCAGGAAATGTTAGACAGTCACAATCTTCCCATGTGTATAAACTCATCCTTCATCAGACAATACTGTCTGTTAAAAAAAGCATGTAAAACAATAAGCAGAATAAAACTTCAAACACAATTTACCTGTCTCACTGCAGTTAAAAATCCTTGGGGATTAAAAAACCCTGTCATCCAGAAACAGTTCGGTCGACTTTCAAAAATCCACTTGTAAAACTGGTGGTTTCTTTCTAGAAGCTCAGTAAACCAGAAACCAAGTGTACAGGAAGGCCAAGATGCCTAAAAACCGTAAACATATTTTAAAATAGCACATTTTTTATGTGCTACATAAAAAGCTACATCTTCCCATGGTAATAAACAATATAGTATTAGCAAAGCATATTTGAAGATCATCTATCATATCTTAACTTCAATCTGATGCTTAAACTTTGCATCCCACTGAAACCTGAAGGAAATGATTTTTCTGTTTAAAATCATGTCTACTATTCCATTTACATATTTAATGCTCTCTGTGGAATTGTCCAGTTTATGACATTTTTGCAAGGTTAGACAGCTGTATAAGAGAAAAAGAAAAGTTGTATACATGTCTTTATAATTCCAAGGTCAATATAGCAAGACAATGTGATTTCTGTAGGACTGTTCTGCATTTTTATTCTTCTGAATAAAACATAAGGAAAACTGAACTTGGACTATGTGGAGATATAGCCGTGTTGTGAAGCATCTGTTCACATCTAGGTTTTCTGCCATGAAAACACTTTTCCAGTAGAAACAAAACAAGCAAATAACCAAAAAAAACCCCTTTTTTCTTTAAAAAAAAAAAAGTTCCTTCCATCAGTTGCCATTAAGAGGTCTAATTATCCCTGAAAACAATTTATATGGGGAGAGGCTGAGATCTGGGATTGTTTCGCTTGGAGAAGAGAAGGCTTAAAGGAGGCTTAAATAGGTTTATATCTCATGTGGAGGACTGAAGAAGATGGAGCCTGATCCTTTTCAGCAATTGGACAGAAGACAATGGGAACAAGACAAAATGTCAGAAATTCTGTTTCAACTTAAGGAGTTTTTTGTTTGTTTGGCTGGTGGTTGGTTGATTGGTTGGTTTTTACTGTGAAGATGATCAAAGAGTGGAATGGGTTGCACCTCTCTGATTCTGGAGACTCCTGGGAAACCTAATTTAACTGACCCTGCTTTAGGAAGTGTGATTAAACTACACTGTCTCCATAGGTCCTTTCCAGCATCTACTATTCTGTAATTACGTGGCTATTTCTCAAACTCAAAGCACACTGATTTTGACCAAAATGGACAGGCCACTTCTACTTAACCCAGAAAAGGATGTCCAATAATTATATATGTCCAATAAATAACACCATCTTAGTCCACTAATGTGGGTGCTAATTTTTAAAATCCGTCATCATATTTTAAATTTCCCTCCTCTCTCTGGGATTTTATACTGCCAATATGTAACAGACTGGTAAAATGGAACAAAGCTGCATCCTTTACATTCATTTCAATTTTCATAAATGAAAAAAGGCTTGTTTTGAGTATGTTTATTTTAGCACAAAATCTATTCCAGCAGTTGCACAGTTAACACTTCTGAAACATAGTTTGAAAAAAATGTTTACTCTAAGTCTAGCAGTTTAATCTAGTCTTCAGAAATAGATTTTTTTATTTCTTTCCAGAACAAGTAATGTACACCTACCTTTTTCCAGCTAGCAGGAAACCTTCCATCTTACATGCAGTCTAAAGCATCCCTCAGATTTTCACTCATAACTATTGTCCCATCAATGGCAAGTTTTAGATCAGTCAGCATGCTTCTCACTAAAGAAATAACTCTCTCCATTTGTTCAATCTCCTGTTGCAAAAATATGGGCATAGGTTGAAAAGGTCTCATATTCTTTAGTTTTTCTTTTACCTGTTCGTAAAAAACCAAAGATCTTTCAATAGAAGTGAAAAAAAAAAATTGGCTTTATGTCAATGTTAGGCCCCAGTATGATCTTTGAGACATAACATAATTTATTTATGAGCTTAAATGGTCAGTTTGGCACCTCCCTTGAATTATCTGCAAGAGAGAAACACAGGATTTTTTCCAAAAGAAATCTGTGATGCTGAGACTGACTATGTTTTTAGTCCAAGTCATGATTTAGTCTTTGAGCTAATGCCATTTAAAGAGCTTGTAGGCTGTTTATGTTAGTTCAGAGAATTCAGCTTTAGTTCCAACAAGCAATTCCAAGGTTCTTTTTGAACAAACTAATAAAGAGTAATTGCCCCAGCCACTTCAGCATAGCAGCAATGCCTGGGAACTATCACAATACCAGGCAGTCCTGTATTCTAATCAAACTCACTGATACATTTTTAATCAAAAGTGTAAAATAAACAAATAAACAGCTGCATTAACATAACTAGAAATTTTATAGTGTCAACAACCTCAGTTAAAAGCTGATGATCCAACCTCCCTCATAGTGCAAATGACAACTTAAATGTTAACGGGTTTAATATTTCTGAAAAAGTCCTTACAAAAGCACTTCAGCACACATTTAATGACTTCATTGTAAACATCAATAGTTTGGCCACACTTCTTTAAAATACAAATTATTGCCCGTATGAATTAATTCAAACATGCCTTTAGAAAAGTTTTTGGGAATTTGTTGGTGTCTTTTATTTTCAGCCCATAAAAGACAAGATGGACCAAATGTTTTTGCCAGAATTTCATTAACTCACTTCAAATGGTACATAATCAGCAGGAAGTTTTTCCTACATATCATCAGCCAGTGTGGCTACAACTGCCTCTCGAGTTTCACCTCCTCCACCAGAGCTATCTTTAGGCTGAATACTGAGGATGGTGTCCAATACAGCTCTGGAAACTACTTTGGTAGATGATATCCGCATTGGGGTGCAAACCAAACACCTCCTGTCATAAGCAAGAAGGCTTTACATAGTAAAATATAACAAGAGTACAACTGGAGATTTAGAAGCAAGTTATTAAAAAAAAAAAGAAAAAAAAAGAAAAAAAAAAAGAAAAAAAAACCCACATAAAACTCAAAACCAAATAAAAAAGAAAAAAAACTCATAGATTACTGTTAAGAAACAAGCTAGATTTCCTCAAATAATCTTAAGCCAAATAACTTGCTATGGTTTATTTGTCATGTCACAGCCCAATCTACACCAAACAAATTGTGTTTTAACAACTATACACTATTTTAATATTAAACTTTTACTCTCATATACCTAGACCTTTTATTTCAAAGAGGTTGTACCCAATGTCTGGACTCCATTCTTTGCCTCCTTTAATAACTTTGTGCCTTTAGGTATGTCCCACAATCAAAATGCATGAAAAAGAAAATATATATTACTGTCATGAAAATTATAACATTGATAACCAAAATTAGTTATCACTAATAGATATGCGAAGTGCTAGAAGTCAGTTTAAAAATCTATGAATGAAAGACAAAATACAGGTACTCAGAAAAAAAGACAAACATTATAGGGAATCAGGTACTTATGAGAAACATTTTATGAGAAAAAACCTATGAGAAACTGTTTTCATTTACCAACCTGTATGTACTGAAGGTATTGATCCACCATAGTATATTTGGGTATGCTGTATCCTTTGTAGAAACTGAATTCCTGACTGAATGTGTTTTCACTGAACCAAATCTTTACAAAGGTGTTCATGAGTCTTTTGTCGAAGTCAGTTGTCACATGACCACCATACTGGATCTCACCTATCATGTAACAAACAGTACTCCAGCAGATCCCCTAAAACCAAGCAGAAACCACTGACTTCAGCTAATCCCTTCTTATTTACTTAGACCTCCGTTAGAAAAAACAGCTGATGTACCATGTCTGTCCCATTCTAAAGAAAGTTACTTTCCTATTACTCTTTTTTTCATTATATTCTTGCATTCCCTGAACACCTGCAAGGATTTCTCAAAATAGAATTTGCTGAATTTAAAGAGCATCTTGAAGATAGCAAGAAGGTTACAGATATATTTGAATTCTCCTTTAAATTAAAATGCCAACGGCAAACTGCTCTGACACAGACCTCTCTGTATGACAACTGATCATATGAAAGTGAGAAACATAGGAGACATTCTTGTATAGTCATTTAAAACAGTATTTGAAATACCTCTTTTAAAATAATTGACTTAATTAGAATTGAAAAGAAGGTCTATACTTCTAAGGTTTATATTTCTGAGATGGCTGGAAAGGCTTTTTTTTTTTAATGTAGAGGTTAATACAGAAATTAAATATGCACTGGATTAGAAGTCTAAGTCTGCTGCTGTAGAGACATATATACTTGAAATATTGAATATGTGTGGAAAAAACAATAGGTTAAAATAACTTTTGTAGTTAAGTTACTAGGAAGCATTTGCTAGAATGCTTCTACTACTAGAAAGATCCATCATCTTAATCCACCTTTCCCACATAATCATTAATTACCTTCTTGGTATCCATGCGATTCAAGTGTTTTTGAACGAACTGCACGGCAGCATTGAAATCAGCTTGATTAAACTCATAGGGAATATTCCAACCCAGAGACCGGAATTTGCATCTTTCTTGAATGGTGGAATGCAGAAAGGCTACAGCATACAACAGTGGTTTCCATTGCACCATTTTACTGGCATCTAATAAATCCTGGTTGACACCTATTGATTGCAAATGGGCTTTATGAAAATCACTGTAATTGTCTTTTTCAAAACTACTTCAAATCAGTGCTAAAATATCACTCTAGAGATATTCACTTGGCTCTCTGCTTCTCCCAAGGGTAAATTATTGTTCCACAAAATGTTCTGTGCTGGAGACAGTTTATAGCATGTTATTAAATTGCTCAAATTAAAAGAGTAAACTTCAGGGGAAAAAACCCCCACAATTTACTAACAGCTGAATTCACATCAAGTGGCTTTCTGCACAGACTTGGTCCTTTATTTTATGTAGTGTAAAAGAGCATTTGATGGCTAACCATGCCATTTTTCTGCCAAAAGACAGAATATTAAAAATTCAAACACTTTGAACTGAGATACAACAAGCCAAATTGTGAGAAAAGAAAAGGCATTCATTGTCTTGATATCCAGTTGGTTGTGGCAACAGAACATCAGCAAATCTTCTTTTTAATTTTCAAAACAAAAACTAAGATGTGCCCTGGCATCATTGCAAGCAGTTCCTCATACCAGCTTACACCTACTACCAGTTTAACCTGACCAACAGTAGCATCACAGTCCAAAATCATTAGCATTCTATCACTCACCACTGTATGTTCTCTTTGGTCCAGCTGTGAGCCCTTGTGGTGGTTCATTGGTAAACTTAATCGACATTTGAAGAAGGGTGATGGGGAATCGTTTGTGAATGTCAGTTGTAATCCAAAGTCTAAAGCTTTCATGAACATTCTCTGTCTCTATTGCTGTGTCCATTAACTCATCCAGAAAGTCAAGTCCAAGGTGGCAGTTTTGCAGAAGTGCCCAACCTCCCTAGTTTAAAACAATAGATTTTAAAAAGTTATCAACATTGTTCAAAAACTGAAATCTCCTTGATGGGAGCTAAGATCTGGGCTGTTTCTTCTGAAGATGGTGTTAGCTTATTTGATTTTTTTCACCTGAACAAGTGGTCCCTACTTGTCTCATCTGGTCTATTTAAATATTCACTACCTTTTCCATTTCAATACATTTAAAACATACCTTGTCATGACTACAGCGCTGATAGAAACTGATATATTTTGACTTACATAAGGGAGATCAGGAGTAGCTCCACAGAGCAACCTGCGAAACCTTGTTCCTCACAGAGGTTCCAAGCTTGGAAAATAATCAAATAAACATATATTATTAACCTATTTCTATCAATCAATAGATGTCAAACTTCTTTATATGAATTACCATATTTCATTATAGGCATCTCATATACCTCTTCCCTAAGACACCTTGTGAGACAGTGAGGGAAGGTAACTGCGTTTCTCTTGACTAAACTAAAGATGCTCCTTTCCCCTGTTTTTGAATGGGTTTCTTCTCATTTGATCTGTCAATTAGCTCCTTATGAGAAGTTATCAAACAAGAATCTGAAGCAAAAGTAAAACAGGTCATAAAAAGAAGCTCATAGCAAAGGAGAGTAAGATCAGTATTTTCACATCAGCGGGCATAGCAGTAGTACCACCTGATGCACAAAGCATGCCAGATTGGAACATCTCACCTTTCTCATACTAATAGTTTTTCTCCTTAATTCCTCATCTTGTAAAATGCCTGTTACCAGATTGTCCCTCCCAAGTCCAAAATCAGGTTCAGACTACAGCAATACAAAATAACTTGCTATACTTATCTTGTGTTTCTCAAGTTTATGTAACTATCAATAGCATATCTGGAATTCATTTTCTTTATTTAACAAAATACGTCCATATCACTAAAACAAAAAACTGAAAATATAATCTGAAATGCCTACAGAAGAATATTTGCTGGTGATATAATCAAATAAAACCAAAAAATCAATTCAGCTCTGTTCATCAGTCTGCAATCACTATAAAATCCCCATTTGATATGAAAAACACTCAATTTTCAAGGAAAAGCATCTGCACAGTACCAAGAAGTTTGCTGTGGCAAATTGAAGGAGTGTGAAAATACAGTTCTCTTGCTTAGGACACGTATATAAATAAACGTAGGCATTTGCATCAGCACTAACTACCCACCAAACAACTTTATCTCATGGCAGGATTTTTATTTCTAAGTGCTTAATACAGAGAGAAAAACATTCCGGGTTTTGTTACTTACATGAGCCACTGTGTGCTGTAGAAGTTTACGAGCATGGATTCCTTGCCCCTGGCCCATGGAAACACAATATGTTTCTATCTTCAGTCTTTTTCCCAAAGCAATAATTGAGTCCGTAGGATCAGAGCCCACGGAAAGAAAGCATATGAGGGGAGTACGTGGATCTGACTCTTTCCCATGTTTTCTCCAAGTCCAAGATGATTCCCTCTGCGTATTTCTCCCCCATAGTGTCAGTGATATACTTTCTTGCCTATATTAAAAAGGGTAAATTTAACTTGTGACCTAACCATTTTATACTGTTTTCTTCCCAGTGTAAATATTACCAAAAGGTCAACTGAAGACCAAAGAAATTTAAAATTTTATATCAAAAATATAAATATACAGAAAGTTTATTTTTACATGTCAACACATCATACTGTCTTTGAAGGTATTATGTTTTTATAGCCTTATACAACCAGTGAATTTTTTAAAAATAATTATTATATTACATATATCTGTATGTATTTTTATATATAACCATAATTAGAGTATAATAAAAAATAACAACTTCTCTAAAACTTTAGAAAAATTTTACTGATTTAAGGATATCTCCATCAGAATCTAGAAAAATAAGAGAAAAATACTAAAGATGGGCTTCAAAGCTTGTAGACCTTTCTCACTCTGCAGTAAAATAAGCAAAGAATTAACAGTAGTAATGATTAAAATAACTATCACTAAGTAGACAATCCAGAGGAATAGGTGAAAACCAACTCTTCTCCCCTCTTTATTTATCTTTAAAAAATCTAGATTGTTGTTCTTTTTCTCAAAGAAATAGAAAAGGCTCTTTCAAACAGTCTGAGATGATCTTTCTTACACTCTTTCCCCCCACACAGCTCTTGTCTTAGATAAATCTTCCCCTTAACACCTCTGGGTTATCTCTCGGAGACAAAAGACATTCAGCATATAACATTTGATAAACTATCAGTTTTCATAAAACCATGGAAAGAGGAAAGTTTACCTTGCCCCATTAACAGTAAGGAGGAACTAATCTTGTGTGATCTGTTTCAGACACATAGCAGACATCATAGAGATATTCATCGTACAGTACTGCTTAATCTATTGACTGCAGTTACACCAGTAACTGGTGAGATTTTCTCTGAATCCAATCACAATGTCTAAAGATATGCATCAATAAAATTAACACCACACTTCAAGTGATGCATTCTAATTTCAGTAAATCATCATTAATTGTCCTGAATTGTCAGTAATGTTATAAATTTTTGTTCTTTTGTACTGGAGAAGAACATAAAGTTTAAAAATAAGTTCCTAGAAAATTATTTTTCTTTTAAAAAGGTCTATTTAATAAACTTCAGTTCTGTAATTTTTAAATAGATGTGTTTAAATTGAGAACTTTGAGCAGACTTTATTAAAGATTTTTTCCAAAGTGATTCTAATTCTTCCATGCAAGAAATAGTTTCTCAATGAAATTGTTTTCAATTTTACCTCATCCAGTCAAGTTCATTAAAATATTTGGCTTCAGTTTAACACAGTGACACTTCTAGAGTTCTAGTGAGTAAGCAAGGATAGTCAAAAGTATCTTCTGAACTAATAAAGCAGATCTGGATAAACACATATGATTCCAGCAGAAATCCCCACAGTGGGTAATATTTGTTCAATATATTGGAATAATTTTTTATCACTGCCCTTGTAACAAATACATAAATAGTCTGAAAAGAATTTCAGAAAATACAATATAAAGGTCCATTACAAAATGGACCGTTAGCATTATATAAGATAGTACAAACCTTCAATCTGAAAACTATTACTGTAGTGATACCTAAATAGACCATGTAGGCTATAAAAATATACCTGAGCTATGGTCCTGTCAGGACACCAAGATCTGATAAGAAGAAGAAGTCTGAAGCAGTCCAGAGATTGACCATAGCCACTAGGAACCGATTCTTCTTCGGGATTCTTACTATCAAACCAGATTTTCCACTGTTTCTCTTCTCTGGAAATCTGCAATTATACCACCAAAGAAGCAAATATTACTAAACAGACAAGTCATATTTGCACTGCCACTAGGTCACAAACTTTTAATGAGAGTCAGAGATGTGAAATTCACACCCAGGCATTTGTTTAGAGTCATTCTTCCACAGATTTAAAAAGGCTGATAAAAATTATAGGATAAAATTTCAGATTATAAGTATGCTATTGTAGAATACACAACCCTGGAGTATTCATATTCTGAAAACAGGAGCTATTAATCAGTATGTTATATTCTGATATAATATAGCATAGCTATGTCAGAATATGGCTAGCTAGGCACAGATACAGCTTTGAGAACAGCAAGTACATAATTGCTCTCCACATGAATGTACCTTCTCCCTAACTTTTACTCCATGTAACCAGAGTAATATTGGAACAAGCATCATAAAACATAGTGTAAGAAAGCATAACAGGGATGCAAGATAATGTAATAACCAGAATAAAAATTAATTTGCAATATATTAATTGGATAATTGATTTGGGATAATCCCAGTCTGAAAATATTACCATTTTAGAACGTATGAACACTCTACACTCTTCTTATTTTCTTGGGCGTGGTTGAGATTTTATATCAACATATGTTGCTAAGCAGTCAGGGCCATAGCTGTGGCCATCTGCTGTCAGTTTTGCTTCTTTTCCATTAAATATACCATTTTCCACCACATGGCTGGATTGCTACCAGACAATTACTTGTTAGACAAGAGATCAACTCTCAAAAGTTCTTACGTACTTGATCAAGAATATCTGAAAACTGTTCAAGCTTACTGAGCTCCACCAACTTCAACCAAGTCATATCCATATTAGCTGGCTTAGGAGGACAAGCTTTAAGGTCTAGGGAAGCACCACCTGCAAGAAATTGAAATTAGTTATTAGCACTGTTGGAGAGACAAAGAAAAATAAATAAAATAAGAAGGAAAAAAACAAATACAATAATCCATTTTTTAAATCATGATGTTTCGGAAGTTTTCCACCTTACAAAACCATGCCATATTTGATTAAGCTGAGTTTGCAATTTGGTTAATTGATAGTGTTTTTTTAATATTATGTAACTTAGTCAGAAGCACTAGCCAATTTACATTTTGAGGCTTTACTGGCTTTTTGTGCAATGTGCCTGGAAATAAAGGTTTTTTGGGAAAAGCTATTCTGAAGATTCAACATAGAAAAATTTACACATATAATCCATTAATAAATACTGCCTGGAAAACTAAGTCTCTTGAAAAAGTAATATAAAATGGATCCAAACTTTCAAGTGAACTCAGTGCTTGTATGCAGTTGAGGCCAAAGCCATGACCTTGTCTCATGCAGCTGAGACTCCAATGTTCTTTTAAAATGTTAGCATCATTTTCTGCTCCTATTTGCTGCAGTTACTATAATATGTTTAGTACAATAACAATTTTTCTAAGCTAAACACATACCTGATGGTATTTGAGCAGCAGACAACAATATTCTTTTCAAATTCTCATGATTAAAAAGATATATTCATCAATATTCAGTGTGCTGCTATAAATTAGAGCTGCCATACAAGGTTGTCTGTCACCAGATCAGAATGATAAACATGTATTCTTACAATTGACTGATTTCTCATGCTGGCTAGCAGATACAAATACATAAATTTTCTAAAATAATAATGTGCTCTCCTTATAAATTATTAATAGTTTTCACCTTTAATAAGTGTCAGAAATTCTTCATGTTTCACTCTGTTTCTTTGTATATCAATCTTCAAAGTAAGAAGTAATGTGAAATTTATGCTCCTCATAGAGCCCTCAGGCAGTATGTTTGAATACTTCATATGTCCTATATTCAATAATATTGGTAACCCTCTTGCTGGTTATAGGGCTCTTGGTAGACCTGTTAGAAGAAAGGTCTGCAGTTAAAATTTGATTTTCTTAGGCTTTATAGAAAGGGAATACTGTGCAAAAAAGAAAAAGCCATAGTTCAGTATTTTCAGAACATGAAAAATAATAGATCACAAACAAAATACCAGACAGCAAGCTGGCAACAACTTTCAGACTGAGGGAACAAGAACAAAAAATCCTTTCTAATCAAGTCTTTTTGTCCAGCTGAAAATCAATGCAGTATAATGGTATTTAATTATCTAATGACAAATTTTGAGGGACTGTAAGTACATTAAAAGGGTCTTTGCCTTGTTAACTTACAAATTGTTATGGGTATTTAAGCTGACAATTCTTGATCAAGATTCTAAGAAGCAAGAGTCTTCTTTCTGATATTAGTTTACAATAAATCTTTACTGTACTACAGGCACCTCCAGGAATGGGTAAATACAAATTATACTTGTTGTTAGCTAAATTACCTGGCTAAGGAGCAGTCAAAAAGCCCCAAAAACTGTCGAAGTGATGTCTGATACATGACATTGATCATGCTCATCTCAGTGATAAGGAAGTACAAGATGCTACCTCGTGTTGCAACTGAAGAGCAGGAAAGAAAAATTTGTTCAAAGTAGAAATGTAGAGCAGAAAACTTTAACTCTCCAAAACACATACAATGATCTTCACACTAATGATAACTGAAGATCCTTGAGTTTCTCTATTCTTTACTGCCAGAAAAATAATAAAATCATTCATTTAATCCTCATGTATACGTCAGGGGAAAAAATTATTTTCTGTAATTAATGCAAACTATGTAAAGTCCAGTTTTCAAATACAAGCATATCTGGAGATCTGCAATACTCAGATCAGCAGCAGAACACATAAGAATTATGGCTGTTTAAAATACTGTTTAAGTATCCAAACAAATTTCTTTTTATAAACTTTTACAAGATTCATATAGAAGAAATAGCTATATTGATTGAACTTACCCAGCACTGATTTAACTTCTTTTCAGGAGTCATTCAGTTTTAAACACAAAGGTTTTACAATAGCTGCAATGTTTCTGGTACACTAACTGTATCATCTTACACATTTCATAGAATACAGACAATTACGGAGAGCTATTTTTCCCTGTTTTCCCTGTTTTTTTCACATTTTTTCACCTTTCAGTTAAAAGTCAAAAGACTCATGAAATTTGTTGACTATAACAACCAAAGGATAAATGGTGAAACATTCATCAGAACAGATATAGAGAGTACTTAATGTTATACAATCTCTGTAAAAAATGTCAACATGTTGAACTCAAACATATACTTACCTAAACACCCTAATGATGTGCTTGTTTATAGAGCAATGGGAAGTCTACAAAGAGAACAATTCACTCAGTTTTATAAATTCCACATGAGGCATAACATTGACTATTTTCTCTGTTACAGCTCAATATGACATCTCCTGGATACATTTTACTTACAGGAAAACACAGATCTCTCCCACCAATTTTTGGTCTTCCTGATCTCATCCTACCATTTCTCCTACTCTAAGTACTGGTGTTTTAAATATATGGTCTAGCTATTTGTCTTCTATGACTACCTTCACCAGGTCTGTACTCTTCGTGGGCTGAATTGATCTGTACTTCAGTTTCATCAGAAGCTTGCAGTTTCTGTGTTATTTCTTCAGCAGTCTTCTTAGTGTTACTCAATACAATTAGTAGAGTCTCATCATCTGCCAGAGAACTCTTAGTGCTTGTAAGTTGAAATAAAAGGTTATCTTCTAGGTTTTTAATTCTCCTTTTGTTCATAGTCACATCTTCAATAAGATCAGTTCTTTCTTTCTCTAATTTCCTATTGGATTACATGGTAATATTTGGGAAACAGACGAGCAATCAAAAAGAAAAGAAAAAACCCAAATATTTAGCTTAAAAAATACTAATCCTGCTAAAACAGCATAGGTCAAAACTTGCTGAATTATTTTGGGGAAATAATTCCAGTGGTATTTCTGACATAATATCTATTGCCAGGATCTGAACCTGCTACATAAGTAGGCATTAACAAATAATTTCTAAAAATATTATGGAAGATGTTTGTGTTTGTGTGTTTGTAAAGTGCCTGATGACGGGCAGGTCGGGCTCACGGTCGGTGCAGTTTAAGAAATTCAGCACATAAAGTGCTTTACAAAGGCGCTCGACCGGAGTCATCGCCAGCGCCGCGTCATGTTGTTGATCGAGCAATCTTTTGTGTTCTTTGTGGGAGCGCTCCACTATGGCCTGCCCTGTAGGATTATGTGGAATGCCGGTGGTATGTTTGATGCCCCATTGCTGCAAGAACTCCTCGAATTGTTTTGAGGTGAGTCCCGGGCCGTTATCAGTCTTAATCGCCTTCGGGACTCCCAGTGTCGCGAACACCATGAATAGATGTTTCTTGGCGTCCTTCGTCTTCTCCCCGGTATGGAGAGAGGCGAAGACGGCGCCTGAAAATGTGTCTATGGAGACGTGTATGTATTTGAGGCGGCCAAATGCGTTGTAATGTGTCACATCCATCTGCCACAGCTCCAAAGCTCCCAGTCCCCGGGGACTGACAGCTGGGGCAAGTGGCGAGGATGGCCTTGGCCTGCTCTTTGGAAATCTTGAACTGCCTTGCAAGGGCAGGAGCGTTCTGATGAAAAAACGCATGACTGAGCCTTGCTTGGGCAAAAATGTCTAGGATGGTGTTGGAGATTGAGTGCACAGAAGAGGTTGTGGCGACAGTCGCCATAGCTAGATGATCCGCTCTCCGGTTACCCTCTGCGATGGCTCCTGGCAGGTCTGTGAGCGCCCGGACGTGCATTATGTGATAGGATTGCTCGCAGTGGGAGATCAGCCAAATTAATTGCGTGAGCAACCCGAATAATTTTTTGTTTTGAATTTCTTTGAGCATTGCATGTTCTGCTCGCTCTGCTATCCCAGCCACATACGCCGAATCAGTTACCAGATTGAAAGGTTGTTGGAATTTTTTGAATGCTCTCACAACCGCAGCCAGTTCTGCGATCTGGGGGGAACCCTCAACGATTTGGATGTCAGACTCCCACTTCTGACTCTCCGGGTCCTTCCACGTGATCACTGATTTGTGGGATTTTCCCGATCCATCAGTGAACACTGTGAGAGCATCTTTAATAGGTGTTTTGCTTTTGTAGGATTTTGGAGCCAAATAGAATGTGTCCTTAAACAGTTTATGTTTAGGATAATGTATTGAGATCTGGCCAGGATAGCTGTCTAAGGAAATTTGGAGGTTTTCATTTGTTTGCAGAAGAGACTCCAATTATTCCAAATTTAAAGGGACATAAATGCACGCCGGATCACACCCTGCGAGGGTCCGGAGGCATTGTCTGCCTTTAATGATAAGTTTGGCCATCAACTCTGCGGGTGTGGAGATGGTTTTGGGGGGCTGGTGCGGAAGGAACAGCCACTCAATGATAAGGAGTGGGTCCTTCCGGCCTGCATCCCACTGAAACAGCAACCCATGGAAGTTTGGGCACTTACCCAAGATGGCAAGGGTGATGGGAAGGACCTGGTCCACACGGTGCGCCTGGCGGGATCTGATGGCCTCTGCAACTCTCTCCAGGGCTCTCTTCGCGGCAGGTGGCAGCTCGCGTGGAGAAGCCAGGTCGCCGTCTCCTTGCAGGAGTTCGAAGAGGGGCGCCAGCTCCTCCGTGGTGAGTCCCAGGAGAGGTCGGATCCACGTGATGGTGCCGCAGATCTGCTGCAGATCCCGCAGGGTCCGTGGGTCGTCTTTGATGGTAACAGACTGGGGCGCGACGGTCCTTCCCGTGATGGTGATGCCCAGGTACTTCCATGGGGCGGAGAGCTGGATCTTTTTCTCCGGAATCTGGAAACCCGCATCCTTGATGGCTTTTATTGTCTTATTGAGTGCTGCGCGGAGGTAGGTGGTCGTCTCCGCGCAGACAAGTACATCGTCCATATAGTGCAAGATGATGGCTTCAGGGAAAAGTCGGCGGATTGGCGATAGAACCTGCGCTACGAATGTTTGGCAGAGCACTGGAGAATTTTTCATTCCCTGGAGCAAGGTGGTCCATTGATACCTCTTATAAGGTTCCGCCCGATTGATTGATGGTACGGAAATAGCGAACCTGGGGGCATCTCAAGGATACAAGGGGATGTTAAAAAAGAAGTCCTTGATGTCAATGACTGCGAGCTGCCAATCCCGGGGAAGCATGGAGGGTGAGGGAAGACCAGGCTGGAGGGGGCCCATGTCTTCAATGACATCATTGACCCTGCGGAGGTCCTGAAGCAGGCGCCACTTGTCTTTGCCAGGTTTTTAATTACAAAGACAGGGGCGTTCCAAGGGCTGGTGGAGGGTATTAAATGCCCAAGGCGCACCTGCTCCTCTACAAGGACGACTTGCCTGGGTTTTGACTTGGTCCTGATACAGACGACCTTGG